TAATACTGCCGATATGAGGTAGCTATTAACGCTAAAGTGATATATCGCTTCGATGTCAGGGTTTTGAAGAGATTTTTTTGCAACGTGTAGGTTCGGCGTAAATTTCTGTTGACCCTGAAGAAACAAAGTTTGGCGAGTAAACATTACAGATTGCGTAATTCAAAGTTGGCCGAGTGGAGATCTGCGTCTGGTCTCCGACTAAAAAAAAAATAAAAAAAAATAAACCAAGGGTAGAACATGAACCGCGCTCGGCCCATGGCCGCGCGGTTAATAAAATAGTGTATGAATATCTCGCGCAGCATGCACCACAAGGACCGGCAAACCTCCCGAAGTGTGTTTTTCCCATTAGCTCGTGTATTACAATTTACATTAAAAACGTCGAAACACGCTATACAATGATTCAAAATTTTCAGGCTAGGAACTGACCAAGCTAAACGTGTATGAATTTCACTCGATAACAGCGTTTACTTCGTATGCAACTGTAAATTTCGATATCAATTTGGGTAAAAGTTATTGGCATGAATTAATTTCTGTATAGAACTATCGGTGAGGTGTTTTATGATGAATACACCCAGTCCTCGGACAAAAAAATAACGGCCCAAAACAAACGGTTATATTGGTTATTGACAAGGCATGAGGTCAAGATGGCCGCGGATATTGGCCAAGTTCTTCTCTGCGCCGTCTATGCGTCGAGATCCAAAAACACAAAAATTAACGAGGCTAACATCCAGCCTGCCTGACCGAACAATGTTTACCAAAAACGCGTTTATTATATGACATAGTGTCAATAGTCATCACTTTCTTGTTGGAAAGAGGTAATTCCGAGTGAGTCTGCTGGTTTTAGTCTTACTCACTCGGGTAGTTAGTCACAGCGCAATGGAAATTTAAGGGCATTTTTCTCGCCGTTTCTCCCCTTCAACGAGAGCGTGCGAAATTTAATACACAGCAGCGTTTCTTTACCGTAATCAGGCAGAGGACAATGGAATATATATACAGCTTTTCTTCCCTCCACCCTACCACTCCTAGTCAAATGAGCAAAGAACATTCAACTAAAAGGAAAAAAATCCATGTATAAAACTGTTGACACGTTTAAGCAATACTTACCTAAAAACTTCAACTTGAGTTGAAAAAAAGTAAATGAGCCGCCATAGCGAATTCTAAACGCACAGCTACCATAATGACCGGATCTTGCTACCATAAAGGAAAGGTCAGCTCTCGAAATGTCAACTTTCTATAGTGTATGTAGCTAGAGCAGTTAATTTACTTTTATCAACTTGAAGTTGACAATTAGCAAGCTTCAGGTCCCGCCGACGCCGCAGTTGTTTTTTGTCCAGAACCTAATATATCTGAGAAGAAGTCTACAGAAATGGACTGGAGCTGAGATTTAAATTACTTACAGTTTTAATTGACTCCTCTAGACTTAAAATTAAAAAACAGTAGGCCCGTTAATTTTTCCTAAGTAGTATATGCCTTTAGAGAAGAAAAGTTCTTCTTATTTTACAAAAGTGCAATGTTCAGGATAATTGTGATAAGTATAATGCGAACAATTTCTCATGTCACTGTAATTTAACTATCAAGTAAACGTTCTTTCAGTCGCACTATTTGCAAAGGTATCTGTAAACTTTACTGCATGGTAAACAGCAAATTAACCATGCACAGTGTTCAACAAAATTCAAAATGCTAATTATGTTCTTAATATTTCTTTTGGTAATTAATTGGACATACCCACTTAATGCTTGATAAAATTTCAAAATGGAAAGCTCTTCTTCCTTGTAAAAAAACTATGATACATGAAAATACTAACAAAACCTAGATGTTCTGCATAAAAACGGGTCAAAAATGAAACAATGGCAAAGGAAATGCATGTTGTTTCTGACACTATTTTACTTTAAAATCCTACTTCTTCAATTTAGCTATTTTTACAATTGCTACTAAGTGTGAGAATTTTTATATACAACATTTGTAAAAAAATTAACAAGTCTCGCTGGTATGTGAAACACTAAGTTTGTCAATCAAACCTCAGGGCCGACCTGCACCGTTTACAAGGGTCTTCATGATTGGCCAAACGAAACAATATGTATACAACTCAAATAACGCCCCTAGTTCTGTATTGCACTCCTTATTTTTCCTCGCAGCAGAGACCAGAACAATTTCTATCATCATTCAGCAACACTCAACACCTGGCTGTACACTGCAGTATCCGGTTACGTTTCAAGTCTTTTTTTCCCTAAAATATCTTAGAGAAATGATTTTATACTTGCAAGAGAAGCAACGGCTTCATCTAAAAAAGTGAATATTTAACAAAACTTCAAGGGTTAGCGCGTAAAATTTCTACTGAGGCCAAATATTAAACATCGATTTATTTCTGATATGCAACTTAGCTCTAGAATTTGAAGGGACCGGTGAGGTCATGGCATATTTTTCTTCTCATGCGATCACTCGCTGCCGTCCTGGTCATCCTTGCCAACACCTGACAAAGAAAATAACCAAATCACAAAAGATGTGTAACCATCTATATTCATTATCTTAAAGAATAGTTGCCTAATTACAAAATGTACATTCATTTTAGCAGATTATCCGAATTCATGGCTGTGGCTTGTTAAACTGTAAACTTCTACTGGAACCGTGAGCAATTTCAGGATAGAGTTTTTATATGGAGGCCTTAGGTGACTGTGTGAGATCACAATGTTGCGAGATCTTTTGAAGGAAGGTGGACCATACAAACTAGCTAACGGAGCTCAACGGTGACCTATTTGTCTTTTACAACAACATTGAAAATTGTTTGGAGAATAAACAGAACATAATTACATTGCTAAATCCAGCGCACAAAATAACGATCAAGTGTGGTGTCAAAATGCGAGAAAATCAGGAAGCCAAAACTTCGCAAGTTTTCAAATCTCCGCAGTTTTCATGTAGTAACTGAACTTCGACATACGAGGGTGCTTTTTAATTCTTTCAAAAATTTCGTTGCAATTTTGTTTCGTAACTTCATGGTCTCCACTAATGATCGACAGAGCTAACTTCAGTTGTAAAATACATTGGCTGCACAAGATCAAACGACAAGCGTAAGGAATAATTAGATATAGAAACCTAACCCTGTTTTGAAAATACACAGAGTTGACTGATAACAACTAAGAAAATTGTGAGTAAATACCAGGAGACCTTTGCTAGAAATAAAGAAAGCACGTGCATGGTTTCATTGAATCGTACCTTTTTTTCCAAAATAAAATGTCACGTCATCTCCAATCAGTATAAAAGGTGCCCACTGGTTCACGTTATAGCTTTCACTTCTCATCCACTTCATGGCCTCGTGTAGAGATTCACCAGCACTTCCCCCAGCCAACAGGTGATCGTAGAAATGACTCATTAACTGCTCCGTTGCTGTGTCATCCAGGGCCCACAGTGCCACCAACACTGAGCGTGCGCCAGACCCTAAGAATGCTCGGGCAATTCCAACAGCTCCCTCGGCTTTTGTCTGTCCACGAGCACTGTGGCAACAGCTAAGGACTACCAGTTTAGCTCGCAGTTGAACTTTTGAAATGTCCGCCATTGTCAATAAGTACAGTCCTTCTTGAGGTATTCCGTTGGGATGACGAAAAGATGGTGCAAGGGCAATTGCTCCTCTTTCAGCATCACCGTGTGCGGCGATATGAATCAGGGCCACTGAATTCATAGCTTGAAGCACTGCTTCCTTAGTCGCTTGCTGTCCTATCAAAGGCTCGACACCTAGCTTTTTTGCTATCCTCTTAGCTTCGTTTTCGGCACATTGTAGTCTCGAAATACTCGTGAGTTTTCCTTTGAAATGCACTTCACCAACATCAGGATTTCCCACTATCAATGCACCAGTCTGGCAGTGATAGTCTGTTGGAATTTCATTAAAGAGCTTGAGAGTTGTTAAAGAAGGAACAACACGGATCCTGAAAGTCTCTGATAAGTACTTTCCGCTTTTACCAGTTAAGGCGGCGAATGGAATTTGGTATAAAGCACGATCAGGAACAATGACGATTTCAGGGCCCTCAAGAAAGCCCGCCACAGGAGCGATGATAAGTTTGTAACAGATAGCAAGGTTCATTTTGGGTCCTTGGTTAGCTTTACTTTCCTCTCCAATTCGCCAACCTCCATGGCTGTCTTCCTCTTTTGTTTTGGATTCTGGCTGAAAACAGTGTAAAGATTGGTTTTGACAAAGCTCCTCTGGTAAAACACCAAAACTTCTGAAATCAAAAAACGCATCCAAACGCTGACTTAATCCTTCCCGAGCAATAAGGTCATTTCCTGTTATCTTCTGGAAATTTGTGACTCCGCCTGCTTTAAGAGTCCACAAATAAATGCTGTCAGAATGATATGAGACGTACAGGCAGGTGCAGTTACATTCTTTGCCCACGATGCCTTCAAGACCAGCCCAAGTTCGAGGATTAGCAGAGATTTTATTCTACACAGAATGCTGAGCTGACATTAAATCTGCCAAAGCCCTGGCCCTTGCAAGCTCTGAAACATAAAGAGCTTCAGTATGATTCCCGATTTCACAAAGCAACATACTGAGATCTCTGTAAGAACGAATATTGCGATCAGAAAAGGAAATCTTAAATTGATCGTTGTCGCGGAGGGAGCCGCGCATTTCCTCACATTTTTCAATACCAGAAAAGAAATACGAGATAGCCTCCTGAATCTTTCCTTCTTTCATTCTAATGTCTGCCAATATCTCAAGCGAAGAGGACTGCATCGCAATTAGTCCAATCTTCTCACTTATTGCAAGTGCCACCTTGATATATTCTTCCGCTCTATCATATTCAGACTGCGCAAAAAACAGATGTCCAAGCGATAAGTAACAACGTACTTCTATTGCCCTGTCTCCAATTTCTTTGCTTATCGCAAGACCGTTTTCAAAATATTCTTTTGCCTTGATTGAGTTACCTACAGCCAGCTCAACACGTCCTTGGTTCACGTAAAATCTGGCCACCCCTTTACTGTTACCCATGTGTGTAAAGATGGCAAAAGCTTCCTTGTTGTATTCATTAGCCTTGCTATACTTTCCAGAAGATAAATATCTCACTCCCAGGTGTTGGTATAACAAAGCTATTTGATGTCTGTCACTAATTCTTCTACTGATGGTCAGTGATTTTTCACAGTAGTCTAAAGCCTTCTCATATTCGCCAACTAATTCATACACACTTCCAAGCTCTCCGTAAGAGACAGCTTCTCCATCTCTATCTCCGATTTCTTTCTGGATCACAAGTGATTTCTCGAGGTACTCTCTAGCCTTCTCATATTCGCCAATTGATCCATACATACTTCCAAGGCCTCCGTAAGAGGTCGCTTCTCCTGTTCTGTCTCCGATTTCTTTCTGGATCACAAGTGATTTCTCAAGATGCTCTCTAGCCTTCTCATATTCGCCAATTGATTGATACGTACTTCCAAGGTTTAGGAAAGAGCCAGCTTCTCCTTCTCTGTCTCCAATTTCTTTCTGGATTACAAGTGCTTTCTCGATATGTTCTCTAGCCTTCTCATATTCGCCAACTGATATGTACACCGCTCCAAGGTTTGTTTTGGAGGCAGCTTCTCCTTTTCTGTCTCCGATTTCTTTCTGAATCACAAGTGATTTCTCGAGATGCTCTCTAGCCTTCTCATATTTGCCAATTGATTGATACACATTTCCAAGGTTTGTGTAAGAGACAGCTTCTCCTTCTCTGTCTCCGGTTTCGGTTTGGATCAAAAGTGATTTCTCGAGATGCTCTCTAGCCTTCTCATATTCGCCGACTGATGCATACACATTTCCAAGGCTTGCGTAAGAGGTCGCTTCTCCTGTTCTGTCTCCGATTTCTTTCTGGATCACAAGTGATTTCTCGAGGTACTCTCTAGCCTTCTCATATTCGCCAATTGATCCATACATACTTCCAAGGCCTCCGTAAGAGGTCGCTTCTCCTGTTCTGTCTCCGATTTCTTTCTGGATCACAAGTGATTTCTCAAGATGCTCTCTAGCCTTCTCGTATTCGCCAATTGATTGATACGTACTTCCAAGGTTTGCTTAAGAGGCAGCTTCTCCTTCTCTGTCTCCGATTTCGGTCTGGATCAAAAGCGATTTCTCGAGGTGCTCTCTAGCCTTCTCATATTCGCCAACTGATCGATACACATTTCCAAGGCTTGCGTACGAAGCAGCCTCTCCTTTTTTGTCTCCGATTTCTTTCTGGATCACAAGTGATTCCTCGAGATGCTCTCTAGCCTTATTATATTTGCCAATTGATTGATACACATTTCCAAGGTTTGTGTAAGAAGCAGCTTCTCCTCCTCTGTCTCCGATTTCTTTCTGGATCACAAGTGATTTTTCGAGATGCTCTCTAGCCTTGTCATATTCGCCAACTGATCTATACACCGCTCCAAGGTTTCCGTAACAGGCAGCTTTTCCTTGTCTATTTCCGATTTCCTTCTGGATCACAAGTGATTTCTCGAGATGCTCTCTAGCCTTCTCATATTCGCCAATTGATTGATACACACTTCCAAGGTTTGCGTAAGAGGCCGCTTCTCCATTTCTGTCTCCGATATCTTTCAGGATCACAAGTGATATCTCGAGATGCTCTCTGGCCTTCTCATATTCGCCAACTGATTGATACACAATTCCAAGGTCTCCGTAACAGGCAGCTTTTCCTTGTCTATTTCCGATTTCTTTCTGGATCACAAGTGATTTCTCGAGATGTTCTCTAGCCTTCTCATATTCGCCAACTGATCGATAAACATTTCCAAGGCTTCTGTAAGAGGCCGCTTCTCCTTTTCTGTCACCGATTTCTTTCCGGATCACAAGTGATTTCTCGAGATGCTCTCTAGCCTTCTCATATTCGCCAACTGATTCATACACCGCTCCAAGGTTTCCGTAACAGGACGCTTCTTGTACTCTGTCTCCAATTTCCTTACTGATAAGTAATACTTTTTCATTGAGATGTATCGCTTGCGCGTATTTACTTTGACGGAAATACAGTTCCTCAAGTGTTATGCTTAGCTTGTATTCCTCAAGTCTTTCACCACTTTCATAGTAAATTTGGAGAAGTTTCTCTGCATATTTAATTGCGTTTTTGTTATCGCTGATGCCACTACAAGCTTTCCACAATATAAAATATATCCTTTTGTAGAATGATTTGGTTAATTTCTCGTCGTTTATGCAGACTTTGTCTTTTAGAATGAACAAGCATTCCTTGCATAGCTCGATGGCTTTTAGAAATCGACTAGTGTTGAGAAGAAAGCCGGCAACAATAAGGCCGATTGAGATGACTTGTGTAACTTCGTCTTGCCCGTTCATCTCAAACACTTCCTTCAGAATATAAAAGGGAACAAAACTGAACAAATTTGTGAACAAGCCTGTGTATCTTTTTTTTGAACTGCTGTTGTTATAATTGTAATATGATGATGTATATACCATAGAATTACCGTTGTTGACTTCATTGTTTACATGCTTAAGCAAACCACGACGACAACGGCAACGACAACCACACCAAACAAAAAGTTTAATTAGCAAAATAATGGCTGTGCGCGTGCATTATAGATCTTTGTACATTTCTTTTCCGTCTTCTGCAAAAGCAAGAACGTGAAATGACCACGTTCTGCGTAGTGTGAGGGACTCGAACGACGACGGCTAAGTTTTCGTATTTCCTTTTGGTATTGAACGTTGTTATCGCATATATGTGCACGGTTTTAGAGTCATTGGGGAACTCAACAATTGCGAATTTCGCTGGTAAAATATAAATTCATTTTTGACAGGCGTCGTCCTCGGCGTCGCCGTCGTCGTTGCTCCAGCTTCCTGTTTTTAATACCCGACTGACTTTGGGCAGAGAAGACATCATGCTAAATGCCAATGACTCCAAACATTTATGGAGCTGGTGATACCAATTAACTGGTGAAATATTTGGCTCCATAGTTGATATATTCAAGTAAATTTGTCCTTCAAAAAAATTGCTAAATTTCTGGGTAATAAAAGCGCCAACTATAACCCAATACATCCTTTGTAATATTTGGAGGTTCTCAAAGAAAATACACCGGGTACAAAATTTATTGGGACAGCAAATCGTGTAATGCCCTCTCAATATTCGGAATTGATATCCTTTTAGCTTGATCATGATCAGAAAGTGAATTTCTGATGGACCCTGATGCCAATGAGACAAACTGATGAATTATTTTAAACAAAGATTCCACTCTTCTATGACTCTTCTATCTTCTATGAAAGGGTAACGCTACTAAAAGATTGTAAACGAGGGAAGCAATTGATTTATTTTCATGTAGACTCTCGCAACGTTTACAGTTGAGGCTCAGTTTATCTACTGAGATTAAATGGAAATTTTTGAAGACGAAAGAGTTTTCATGAAAAAATATGCCTTACGCTCTTCGAGTTTGAAAATCTGGTCTGACAAAAGCCTCTCATACACTTAAGGAATATTGTCCTCTTTGTAAGTTAGCAAGAAGTCTTGGGCTCGTGTTAATTCGTCGCATTCATTTTTGCGACAAGTTTTACATTAAGCTTTGGTTTAAAAGTGTGATACTTTTAGTGGTGATAAGTTCTGGAAACTGAAATTCATCCTGAAATCCAAATTATTCTCGGTTCCACACTGCTCTGATAACAACAAGAGTTTGTTATTTCGAATCGAAAATTCTTGATTCACAATAACATTATAAATTTAATATTGTACGTTGAAAAAGACCAAAAATTGATGAAGACGTTTCCAACAATATGTCTATCCTGACGTGCGCACAATTAAATGGTCAACAATCTGTTATCGAATTCCCGCTGCCTTTAAAAGGACGAATTGTTTGCGTAACGTGACACAGGACTGTCATATTTTCACTGTCAGTGGTTATTAGCAGGAAAACATAATTAGCGACTTCAATAATCCTTCGTTACCATTAGGATCATTTTTGTTTGAAAAACAACCAATAACGTGTTTAGCCACAAATAACATAGTAAACTTACCAGTTATTCTCTTTCACTCGGTTTCAAGGATGCAAAAGCAACGAACGTCCTGAGTCTGTTTTTTACAAGAGGACGGCTTCGTTTGTTTACGGGAAAACAGCAAAAAAAAAAAAATGAAAAAAAAAAACAAAAAAAAACACTAGTTTATTCAATGCACGTATTTATATAAAAAAGTCTCTGTTTTGCCTGTGATTAAACTCCGCTTACATAGAAGAACATTTTGAAATTTTGACTTCAGAGCTACACAATTACGAGATACTACTACAAACCCTACTTAAAAAAATGAAACTTTCAGGCCAAGATAGACAAACATGTCTTAAAATCCACAAAGAAACATAAATAAGCTGGAATTGGAATTGGAATTTACCGACCACGATAAACTCAAGAAAACTGAAAGCCCCAGATCTAAAGGAATACGCTAAACTGAAAGTCTTGATCACAGACATAGATAGACGCAAAACTCATAATTCACAGAGAAAAATAAGACGGAAATCTGGAAATCGCACACCATTAAGAAGCACAAACTGTAGGCCTCACGCGAAGATAAACACGTGTAGCTGCCAGTTAGAGGCTAAGACAGACGTGACAAACTGACAGTCACAAAATTAATAAAATGAACACAAGAAAGAAAAACCACAGACGAAGATCAGCGAGCATGAAACTGAAAGTAGCCGAGGATTTCAGTCGATCCCTTCTAAAGTATATTTTTCTGCACTGGACTTTGCAACGTTTCCTTCATATATGTAACTCCATATTTCTACAATCTGAATCAAATTAAACCTTATACGTATAGTCATAAAAACATGGTTTAAACTTACTCTTCTAACCGTCACTTGAGATGTGCGGATCAGAACGAAATCCAATCTTCCTGTGAAATGACAATGAATTACTGGTGGCGTTGAAAATCTTCTAAATGAGAAATAACAATGCCCAGTTGCGATTAGTTATACGAGGGCAGTCTGAATCTTTTACTTTATACTACTTTTGCCAGCAATTTCAGCACAACTTTTTTTTGTACTATATATTTGTTTTGGTAGAACCTATTCTATTATGTAACGTTTGATCAACAAAATTTAGCCTTATAAACCTTACAGCAGCCTTATATTTAAAATTACTATTGTCTGGAGAGCTGTCGATGTCTGGAAATCTTTACAAACGATTTTAAAACTTTGTAAATTTGTGACAATTTTTAAGAACACCTTGAAATACAGGCGCTTAGAAAATTCTTGGAATCTTCACTACTCCTTTTTACTTTTTGAAATAATTGCAATGTAATCTTAATTGTAAAAGTCAAAAGCCGCACTGTGGAGGTTCATTTAAGTGTGTATGTATGTATGTAGAATAAGCATTAGATTAATAGGTGAGGATATTTACCAAAAACGAGGTCTATTAGAATACTGTCACAGGAAACCTGCATCAAGTCAAACATGTACTCACCACTATTTCTGTTTCGCAGTGTGAGGAAAAATATGACAGCAAAAACCTGTTAAAGCTAAGCTCGTCAGAACACAAAAGGTAATTTGTCTGCAAGATAACAGAAGAATCATCACAGCCTTGTTGATATATTCTATTCCATGCTTTAACACCAAGATACTGGACTATAACATAGATAGCTTTCTACTACCAACGAAACCCAAATACCTCATTTTTAATTTGTTACTTCTGTCAGAGCTGAGAGTCAAATATGAATTTTCCGTTCAGCGCCCACCCATCTTTTCAGAATCAATTTTTTCTTCTCTCTTCCAGGAAAGATATTTTTCTCCAGTTTTATCTAATGTATATGGCAAGGTATAGTTTACCATGCTCAACATCTCAATACATATTAACCAGTTAATTTGACTAGTTTATACTTCTTAGTGGTCAATTGCACTTTTTATAAAATGTTACTAATTTCTAGGTTCATGTCATGGTATAGTTTATCTTAAATAGAAAACAGTTTTCGTTAGTTCTTTAGTTCAAAAATTAAGTTAAACTTACTGTACGTACGTACCGTTCGATGACAAATTCAAATCAGAATGAAATTCAAATTTCTAGCCTCTGGCAGTTACAACAGCGTCTCCTTCAAAATAAAAGTGACGCGCGAGTTATCAGACTTTCGAACCATAGGATACGGTTTCGATTTCGACTGGCCACGGAGTCTTTTTGATATATCTACAGACCATGCATCGAATTAAAGAAACTGAGCGAGTAAATATTTAATATCTGCAGCCCGCAGCAGTTATACTGAAATTTGTAATTCCCTTTAGCCTATCCAGCCCTATCACCTATTCTGAGGCATGTGGCACAGTCCTATTTTGGCGTATAATGACATCCGTCATTGCTACACAATAGGCACGTTTCATTTTTTTTCCCTCGTGTTTCAGTTTCCATCCTCGATGTAAGTCACACTTACACAGTTTAGCTGGTACATGTTTGTTTTCTTAATGTATGCTGTACACACATGTATGACTCAATGAATAATAACTGTTTAACTTTCGTCTGTGTTCCAGACGGTCAAGGAAATGTGCGATAAGATGACTGCATGAAACGACACAGGAGTTGCAATTCATAATCAGTATAACAAAGTCTTTAGTTCAGACAAACCTATTCTGTGAGAAAGTCCGTTTCTAAGGGCCTGTTTACGAGAAGAGAGGGTTACCCTAGCAAGTGGGTTATCCTAGCACTCACACATTTCCTGTTTTTTTTTCTTCGTCGAATTTACAAGGCAGCTAGGGTTACCTGGGTAGGTGGGTTAAATTTTTCCCTCGTAAACACTCCAAGTAGGTTTAACCGCCTACCCGGGTTAAATTTCTACTTGTTTCCATACCCTTTTAGTGTAACCGCGCATTAAGTTGTCCCAGGGCCGGTTGTAGGGTTACCCTGCCTGTGAAATTTTGCTTGTAAACCCGAGCTATCTATTGCCCTCGAGCTAGGATTAACCCGCTTGCTAGGGTAGCCCTCCCTCCTTGTAAACAGGCCCTAAGGGGAATTTCTATTGACTTGGTAGCCTAACCCTAACCGTGAAAATGGGTTTTCTGCAGGGATTAATTGCTGGCCGAGTCTGATTTTCTTTTCCTGATTTTTTGACAGGAACCAGCTCTGTAAGATATGCATTATGTCCCTACCAATCCTGAACACGTGAATTATGCCCTGCGACCACACCCAGCCGCTCAAATGGTCAGTGTAGAGTGTGGTGTGTGTTAATCATCAGACAAGAATAATTTTATTCGCGGTTACNGGGGGGGGGGAGTACAAATAGTCCTATCAGGGGCGTGGCTAGTCATTTCGGCCTTGTAAGCCCGTTCCACACCTCGCAGGTAGGTGTTGTGCGGCCGGGGAAGGTCGGGGGAAAGTCAAGTAGGCCTATCATTTGTTCAATTCATACTTTATTACAGCTTAAGGTGGCTTATATGTAAGATAAAACACTTTGTTATAAAATATCCTCATGTCATGAATATTTAGCAACCGTGAAACGAGATCTGATTTAAAGTTTTAAAGGATTGTACTATACAACCCAGTACTACTAGGCTGAATGCTGAGCTAAGTATCTCAAGTCAAGTTTTATGGGAATCCAAAGTTTAGCATCCTTGTCTTCTTGCCGCAAAACTCACCAGCCACGGCCTCCCCGTCAATGGGTGTGTCCTTGAACGCGTGCATTAGAGCAAGGGCCGAGAGTCACTCTGTCCTTATGGTTGCCTGTAGATAAGTCTAAACTCTGCGCATCAGGCTAAAACTGCGCTTAGGAGTTGTAGTTGACGCAGGCATCGTGAGAATTAAGGATCGTGAAGATGGTGTTAACGTTTCGATAAAGAGTTGGATTTATGCAGTCGAGAGTGTCAGCCAGAGTTGCTGGTCGTTCTCCAGTTGAATGCAGCCACTTTGTTTTCCACCGCAACCGTCTCGTTCTCGTACGCTTTCTTGTCGGTCAGATATCATGTGTACGCCGCATACGTCTTAGCTTGGACATCGTTGCTTAATCCCTGCGGTTTTGTTGGGAGAAGATACAGGGCTAGGAAGCGATCCCCTGTGATAAGATCTTGTCGCTCACTTCTTGTATATGATGATCAGTAAGAGCTCTTTGCCAGTAGGACTCTGGGTTTGTGGTTGGGACATTCAACCTGTGTTGCTACCTTCCGGGTGTTCTTGGCATGCATGGCCTGATGTCAAACTCAGCTGAAATCTGTTTCCCCCGCTCATACACTTCCTTCCAAACCAATGGATCGCCTCTCTCGGCTTCCATGATATTTAAAACTAGTTCCATGAAATAAAAAAAGGAATATTCCATGAAAAAAATAAATATACAGAGAAAAGTTTGTAAGCCCGGGGTTACTGGCTTAAAGGGAGCTACACCCCTGCGGGGCTAGCGCCTTCATGCTACAGAAACCGAGATAAGCTCGGGCCTGCAGGGCCAATTTGGCTCGTATGGAGACTTAGTCTTTACCTAATCATCAGACAACATATCTTTTTTTCGTCTCGGATACTCATGCTTGGGACAAAAAACGCACATGTAAGACTGCACTAGCTTACTACGCAATACAAAGCTTAAACAATGAGGACGGCAACGCCAAGCTAGGACAGCGCCTAGTAAAAAATGAATTTATTTCTACCTGACCGCTAATATAAGAATCTCGCAATTATTTAGATCTGCAATGTATTCAAATGCGTCTATGGCTTCAAGAACCAGCTCCAGCTGAATATACAAAGAAAGCGTTTAACTCCAAATAAAAACAGAAAAAAATTAGTCCTCGTGTTTCACTTTCTAGCTACAAAATACCCTGAATTTAATAATAATAATAATAATAATAATAACATTAATAATAATAACGATATTAGATTTATATAGCGCTAGAATTATAAAATATTCTAACGCCCTTTAAAATGTAAGAGATTACAGTAAAAATATAAGAATAATGTATTTAAAAATAAAACAATTCTAAAAAATATATATTATAAATAAGACTATGACATACTATACGCTAATTTAAAATTTAAAATTTGTCTGAGTTTCACGTTGATTAGTGTGTTTTATGGAGTACAGCCAAGAAAGATACCAAGGTTTCAATCGCCCATAATCTTATTGCTTTAGTATAAATCTACTCGTCGTTCAAAACTTCATCTAAATCCTCCTCACAGACGCTTCGAAGCCGTCATTTTGTAACCGCGCGGGGATACGAATTTCCTCTTCTGGTCCGCGCTGATTGTATCTCTCACGAATGATCGTAGCGAACGAGTGTAATACCAGTCCGTCTTGGCATGGTCTCTGCCATTTTGGATACGGCAATTGACGAGAAACAAATGAGAACCTCTGACATCAGTTTTACATCTTCCCTTAAATAATAAAATAAACAAAAACTATGATACAATGTCTATAATGAATTATTTGCAACTAAAAAAATAATTTAAACCATAAAATGAAAAGTTTAAATTAAAGTTGAATGCTGGCACTAGTTCTTTGTGGATCTTTATCAAGATCTTGTATTAGTTTTTTTAGATTTGACAAACCCTGGTCAACAGTGATTTGATTTTGCAAAATACTGATAAAAAAGATTTTCGGGATCTCAAAATATGTTGGGATTATCCCTTACGCAAGTCACTGGCTTATATTCAACTAGTCACATGATTTTCTCTATTCTTATAAACATGGGTCTACTTTGAATAAGGAAAAATTCACGTGAAAAACTCGTTGAGTTAGTGACAACACTTCCTCAGTTGTCGATAAAAGAAAACTCGTGACAAAGTTTTCGATGTTTTCACGAAATTTGCTTCTGCGAATACAATGTTGAAGAAAAATAAAGTAGAAAATTTGTAGTCTACCTCATTTATTACCTGATTAGAACTTCGCATTTGCCTTAGAATCTAGCGTCGTGTACGGATAAATGTGTCAAAGCAAAGCGTGAGATGTTTTTATTTTTCAACCGAAGTTTCACCACCCCAAACAACAGTTGTGCAATAAGCTAAAAATAAATATTTCGTAACTAGGCGCGAAATTATCCCCACAAGAACGAGAAGATCCGCATGCATAGCCAGTTCCGCCAATAGCAACGCAGATACCAGATATGCTAATGAACACTGTACAAAGACGCTCCGGGAGGAGTTAGGGCACAAAAAATATATGGAATTTATTTCAGCGATACGTTTGTAAAAAACCTATAAAATTGTACATTATGAGGGTTAATAAACGATATTTTAATGGAATGATATGAAGCTTTTGTGGTTATGAGCCAAATTCGTGTGATATTTCTTGGACATTTTCTCCCCTTCCACCCCACCCGACTAAGTATGCAAATTTCTCCTAACAGGATAATCAAGTTTTCACGGACTATTCATAAACCGGCGCTTGTTCGTTTCAGTGTTTGCCCTAGAAAAGCGACTTGGAAGAACTAAAGAAGACTGTCTTTTACAGTGCAATTTAAACAACCAAAAGCGATCCTATCTTCCTAAATGAGCGAATTTTTTGATGGTGATTGCGAGGACGACCTGGATGGCAGTAGTGGATTCAAAGGTATTCTGGTGCTGCGAGAATTCTTTCAAGTAATTTTCGACGAGGGAAGTTAACCCTTGTGTTTGGCTTGAACTCTCTTCGTTTTGCCATTTGGTAGCGGGGAAGAAATTAGGAACTACACTGTCTAATCTCGTTTTTGAAGCTCAAAAGGAAAGTTTAGGCTACAGATGAAGAACCAAGGGGCCAGTTACCTCGCTATGGCCGCTAACAACAGTGACAGCTACTTCGCGAGGCCCGGGTCCATCTTTGCCATCGTGGATAACATTTACTGGGCGATCTCTAGCGCTAAACACAACAAAGCTTATGTCCTTCGATTTGTGCCTATTGTCAAGCAGATTACCAAAGTTCTGAACGGAGCAGATGTCAAATTCATTCGCCAAGCCGAATTCTACAGCGATCTAAAAGAAACCTTGTTCAAGATCGAAAGCCATGTGAAAGAAAGTTCTACCCGAGGAAAATGGATGAACAAGCTAATGGCAAAGAAGAACCAGAAAAGTTTCCAAGAGTTCGAGGAGCACGTCGATCATCTCATTACACGAATCGTTTTTTCGTTTGCTCAGCGAGTTCAACTGCTAAACCTGGCTCGACAATCGAAGAGGGCATTGTCAGAAATACCGGAGGAAGAAGATGAAGAAAACTTGAGTGAAATCAGTAGCGACCGCAACAGCGCTAGTACTACTAGCGACACTTCCGGCGAAGATGAATCCTTGGCGAGCCAAGAAGACGAAATTGCCGGGGAACGATAAACGTTTAACACCATTTCCACTTTTTGTGAACCATCAAATCGGAAATCGAAAGACATGAGCAGTTGTGAAGGAAAAAGTTGGCGTCGTTGTTCACTAAACACATTAATTAAATATTCCTAACTTTGTGTTGAAAAGCCTTAGGGATACATTCCATTGAGCTTTGTAAACGAGTATTAAATTAGAATTTTAGTTTCATGTAGATTAGCACATATTTTAACGAGAATCTAGTTTGGATTAACTTAGCATTTCTAAGTGAAACATTTTATTTAAAGGTAGTACAAGACATGAAGTTGTCGGTATGTACATTGTAAGAGTTTGTTAAGAGATTTTTTGTGTGGTTTCAAGATTTGCATATCTTTTTGCAATTTCTGAAGAGCGGGTAAACAAGCACTCGAAATGTCAGTTATAATTGCTATATTTAGGTTCTGACATAATGGAAAATATAAATTATTACATTTATTTTTCTGGTCGGGGAACAAGGCTTTTATTTCAAATGTTGCAGAATGCACTTGTTCTGCATATTCCACTCAAGAATTGTATCAGGCTTATATTTTGGGAAAGTGTACAGTTACCTTATATTTAAACACAAAGGGATAATATAATAAAATTGATTTGAAGAAAAGCTATTTTCACTGCTTTATGTGCTGCAGGTAGGTAAAGTAAAGCCTGCTTTTGAGCCAAGTGGCCTATCAGGCCGGAGCTTGTCCTGGTTTCCATACCATGAAGTGACTAGGAATATTCTACTCCCCCCTGGATGGGATGCTAGCCATCGCAGGGTTACCCCCCAGCATAAAATTTGCTGGTACCCATTTATACACCTGGGTGGAGAGAGGCACTGTGAGAGTGAAGTGTAATGCCCAAGAACACAAGTCCCCAGCCAGGGCCAGGGCTTGAACCTGAACTGCTCGCTCCGGAGTCAAGCACACCACCCACAAGGCCACCGCACCTCCCACAAGTTAATGATACGCATTAAGTTAATGGTACACTGGATTATTTCCTGTGTAGAGACTTCATACCAGGGTTTTGTTTTAGCTCAGCTATTGTGCCTACAGTCACCATGCACAGCAGATTTCTATAGGCAAATGGCAGGACCTCCAGGACCTCTGCAGTGCACTGAATCGTGTTTCCATTTCCTTCATTGAATAAACAGGCTAACAGGAGCATTCAGGCTAACCGGAGTGATGTTCAGTCTAACCAAAGTGATATTATCCTGTTTATGGTCAGCACTTGACAATGGTTATATTAGCAGAGCTCCAGCAGCCTGAAGGGCTCTATGATAGCATCATAGAAAAAATGTCACCACATATTTCTTTTTTAAAAAAAGCAAAATCTACTGAGGAATGAGAATGCTGGTTTAAAATGACGTGGCTTGGCTGTTGTGTCTACAGTCACCATGCACAGCAGATTTCTATTAACAAATGGCAGGACCTCTGCTGTGGAGAGAGGGTGGGGTTTTGTTGTGTTCTTTGACAAGGGGCAAGAATATGGTAGTGTTCTGTTGTTATTATCATTTAATCAATCTAATGTTGGCAAAGATGTGCTCAAAAGGAAGGGGAAGGTTGGAGGGGGTGGGGTTGCTGATGTGAAGGTGAACATTTCATGCTCTAAGGGTAACCTTGAGTGAAGATGAAGTTTTCACAGGTTGTTCAAGTCCCCATTAGCTTTCAGAAATGTTTCTTCAACTTGATAGCATCATAGAGAATTAATATTGTCACTGCGCATGTATTTCTCTTAACAAACAGAAGAAGAAAGGGAAATCATAATGATTGTAGATGTATATTTTGAATATCAAAACAGAAATCTTTGCTCACACCATTTTGTAAACAGCTTGTGCTTCTGTTTCTATCAAGTTACAGAAGTACAGCTTTTAGCATGCATTTCCTTCCAATCCAGTCAAAAACGTAAACAAAAGCAAAGTCCTGGGCTTTTTGGCAAGGGGTAATATTCTTTGCGGGAAACTGAATTTTTTTTTTTTTACCTAAAAAATCCCCTCACATATGTCAGCTCCTTTGCCAAGTAGTTGGTGGCTGTCCCTTATTTGTTTCTCTCCAGTGATCTGTTTCCAGTGTTTACTTCATGTATGCTTTATTAGTACACTAAGTGTGTTTTAATTACAACAACAGAATTAAGAATACACACTTCATGAAAATCCTATTTAATAAATAAATTTCTACAAATATATAATTTTTTCAATTTTCTTTTTTACACATTTATGTTCATTTTGACAAGAATTACTTACGGTTAAACAAAGAGGGTGATGTATAGTGAAAGCAGCATTGGAGCGGAGTCCGCAGCGAAAACGAAGGGGGCAGGGGGAGACCAAGCCAGTCATGGAGGCCAGCTTGTAAGGCGGAACTAAAAGAACAGGGAACAACTTGGGCTGCCGCAAAGAAAGTTGCGCAAAACAGGACCTGCTGGAAAGCGACGGTTCCTGGCTTATGCTCTGTTAGAAGCTCAGGAATTTAAAGAGGAAGAGGGTGATAAAACATCACTGCCAATTGAAGCGTCCATACAAACCTACCAGAAACCAAACTCCCATGCAGCCATCGCTTGGGTTATAATGTAGTGCTACTTCCCCTCTAACCAAATAACCAATGAATCAACTCTGAATAAAGATTCATTGGTTCCTTTGAGCAACATCATTTGAGAGATCTTGGATCATTGATCCTGATCTTGATCACCCAAAAGAATGCAACTCTGGGAGACTATCAGATGCAATACCACACAATATACTACATATGTAGTATTACAAATGTCATGTACATGGATACTTCCATGAGGCAAATTATGCACAACAGTTGTCCTTCTTGCCTACAAGTAGTCTTGTCTTGAATGACCACTTGCAGGCAAAAAATGTTGCTTCTCTTTTAGTTGATCACGATCCAGCAACACACAGCCAAGCATTCCTTTTCTGAATCTTGTAATGAAATGAACATAGGCTCTGTGGTAATCTGGTGTTCCACCTTTTACGAAAAAAAAAAAAGAAAAAAAACAAGAGAAAAACCTTATATTTCCTAATAATAGTGATCAACATACATGTATAACTTATCCTTACAATATTTGTACGTTATCAAGAGACCCATGACAAGAATAAAGAAAACCATCAGTTAGGAGATTATTGTCTTGATGTACATGTAATGCTGATCCTCTAACACTCACCACAGATAATTAGCAAAATATCAAAAATCCACTCTTTAATTCCATTTAGAGAACATTCATGCTCAAAAGTTGTTTGAATGGTAGATTTTCATAAAATACAGAGTTCACGTTCAAGCAACTAGTCTTTATAGAGCTACATGTAAGGTTTGACTAGAATGAAGTATGTGATGAGAGATGCTGACTTTTTCTTAGCCTATCAGTTTGATCTGTATTGTTTTGTTCCAGAAAGAAAGTGTGCTCAAAATTTTATGACTACAAATTATGGTATTTATAAATGGATCCAAATTGATTTCCATGCACAAAACTACCTATAATCTCCAGACAGCCACCTAAATCTGTACCTCTGAAGCTTCCTTCTCTTAAAATACCATTCAGTATCATACTGTACATGTTCATGTACCTCTTAAACCAAAACTTTGGCTTTTGAAACACGCTCCCCCCACCACCTCAGAATTTCAAAAGACTTTCCATGGGTTTGGTATGTTATTGACAACCCCTGAACCCCCGAAACTGTTAAGTATATCATCAGTCTTCTCCTGGCAGTGTTTACTACGTTCAGTAATGTATGATTAAAAGTATCCTTTACAATTAAGCTTGGGAGAATTTCTTGAGATGACTTAAGCCTGGCAAGAACGAAAGCACTACATGTACCTGAGATTGTAGCATTGAGTTCGTTTGCTAGCTGTCTCATGACAAAGTTGATATTATCACTAGGGTTTGCGAGGCCAAACATGTCCACATATCTGAAATCATAGTGGAAATAATAACATTATTGAGCCCAAAATCTTCCAGAGCATCTACTTTCCACACTATGTATCATTCAGTAGTTTTGAGGATTGATCTACAGAGTTTTCTACAGGCTCTTAAAAAGAAAAAAAAATACAAAATTTAGAGAGGAAGCCACATCAGCCTTGGATGGTTTTCATGCAGGTCCTCTATCTGGGTCAAATTGGAATTTGGAGGGTTGGTTTTTGTGGAGGGAGGAACACCAGAGAACCCGGAGAACCCGGAGAAAACCCTCGGAGCAAGGCGAGAACCAACAACAAACTCAACCCAGTTATGGCACTGGGTTGGAATTAAACCCTGGCCACATTGATTGGAGGCAAGTGCTGTCATCACTGTGCCATCCCTGCTTCTTATTTTTGAAATGCCACACTTAAACACGGTTGATATAACAAGGACTATAAGAACCATGTGGTCAGCTTTCATGAACACATGTACATGTACTGTACATCCAGGACAGCTGACATGGCAGACATGTTCAAATGTTTGGAGGGGACAGGAGGGAGGAGAGGGTGGAGAGAAGCTGAAACATCTAGTTAATAATTAAAATTAATGGAAAGTTAAACAAGCGAGTTAGAGTTAATAATAATAAGCACTTAATATGGTGCAAATTCAACAGTATTTTATTGTTTTCAAATGCGCTTGCAATATGTTTAAAAGTGATAAAAGATAAAATAATAGATAAATAAATAAAATAAAAATCTATTATTAGCCTATTAACTTGTTGAGAAAGTGTATTCCAGTGTTTTAGTGCTGCAGGGCCACAAAGAAGGTAAATTTAATATTTTACCCTGTTTTATCACTTTCAGTTTTCCGAAAGCCAAAAATCATGCACAGACCAATAAACATTGATATCTTGAGAGGATATTGGAATAGGTGATTTGCATGATGGCATCATCCGACTACAACTACTAGAATCCTTCACTTTTTCTGTTTCTTGAGATAATCAGGGCAATTGTTATTTAAACCTCACTGGGAATTCAAAATTTAAATAATAAAGAAAAAATGAAACAAATTCTGGTAGTTGTAGTCAAATGACAACAACATGCAAATCTGCTCTTGAAACTCACTCAAAATTTTTTGTCTTGTTCAAAATATACAGAAGATAATCAGCGATCAGGTCTTCACCAACAATATGGTCTTTAAAACAACCTGTGGTGTGATGAAATGTGACATAGATCTGTGTACACGTAAATTATAAATCATCTTGATCCATCCTTTTGGTTCACAAAATGAACATGCACCCTGACTGGTCCATTTGCACTAACCCTTTATACTTGACCCTAAGGTCCAAAACTTTTACTGGACAAGAAAATTGTTACCCTCAGCGATGCAACTCCTCTGGGACTGTAATGTAAATTTATCCTAAAAAAAATTAATTGTAGCTTTGCATCCAAAACTGTTGTAATGGTGATTTTCTTTCAATGAGCACTTGCACTTTACTCTACCCAGTTTCCATAGCAATTAGTTTGGAGCAATTAGCAGTGTTGCCTGCTGTTTAATGAGATACTACCAATTATCACACTCATCACAAACCCTCTCCTACCATTACGCAGCTAAAAACAACACTACAATAAGTAATAGTACAAGTAGTAGTATAGACTTAATTTAACAAGGGTGACACTGAAAAGCAAATAAAAGCTAACGGTGTGCTACTCAAGAACACAGATGAGTGCAACAACCCCAAAATGTGACCAAGAACTACTTTCTTACATGTACATGTACTTCTAAAGACTGATGTATTACTCTTGGTCCTCTGTGGGGTATAACCTTGGCAACAACAATCCCTCTCCTTTACCCCTAAATGTATTTTGTGCAACAGTGTAGTGCCCCAGCCCAAGTAAGTTTTACCTCACTGGGCTCAGCCATGGCAGTTTGGTGCCAAGTGGTTTTTGGCTGACCTCAAACTGCAGATGTCTCTAGAATCTATCACATCAAATAATTATATGAGCAACACTCCTTGCAGCTATGCATATCAACTTACCTATTAAAGCCAGGTTCATTCCTACTTCTGGAGTTGGTACATAAGGAGATACAACCCCTGAAAACCAATGAAAGTATTAAAAAACTGCAATAAGTTACTTACGAGAAGTTCTACAATTAAGCAGAGCCTTCTTTGTTTTACTTTAACAACTACAGCTGTATGCTAATTCAATTCAATTCAATTTTAACCTTTAGATCAGTCACGTGAGACCAGTAAAAAGAGAGAGAGAGAGAAAAAAATACTATAATTTATACCTATTTTTAAATGTGCTTTTGTTATTCTGACCAGTAATGTCCTTCGATAGGAAATAAGAATAAATTATTTGCCATGTACTTTAATCCCTGTTCTTTAAACAATTTTGCCTTTAAATTTAATTCTGACTGATGAATTACAGTCACATTTAGTAAAAAAGGTACACTGGTCAACATTTTATTTGATAAACACTAGCATTACATAATTATTGAAGTTTACAAACTTACCTGGAGTATCATACATGTACGTCACTGGCTCATCACAAACCTGAAAAAAATATTAACCTCTTACTAATCAAGCGCGCGGTCTGTGTTAGGGAATATTGGGCAAAGAATGTGGCAGTAAATGCCAAAATTAATGCAACAAGGTCTGTATATAAACACAACCAAGGACCAATATTCCTCAAGCAAGCTAACATGTACCCGTTGAAGAAAGTGTAGTTGTGTGGCACTCAGACCTTTCAAACACAAAAAAATTACATGGCTTATGGCTGTTTCCATGGAAATGGTTCATATAGCAAATTTACCTCAAGACTACTGTGCCATATTATTATAGTATAATTTACTTTCAATTATTTTATAATATAATATTACCACAGTGTCACTCTCTCAGGTGAGCCTTTATCTTGAAATGCATGTTTTACAACTATATGTAGTGTCTCTGCACAAGATAAGTTGTAGTAATTGTCACTGTATCCGTCCCAGGAAACAAAAATTTACGTATAAAATAAAAATTATGAAGTAAGACCAAATGTTGAATTACCAATCCCACCAGGTTTGTTTTTCCCATGAGTGATATAAAATACTTGTAACTGGATACACACATACACAACTTTTATTTCAGAGAAAAGTAATATTTTTTTGTTTTAATCAGATGGTAATAACAAAGTTAAAATCAAACTATTATGGTACCTTAATTTTCTCTTGAACAGATCTAGTAATTCCTGGCACTGCTCCAACTCTTGTTGCTATGCCTAACAACAGATTTTACCAAAAATATTACGTCATGACTGATCTAAAGGTTAATTAACGATGTTTAAATTCAAGTGATCGGAGGTCAGGAGACAAATCAACATTAAGTCAATTGACAATAAAGGTTGGTCAGTATAGTGTGTCGCACACACCTTTTCTCATATATTTCCTTCGTAGTGCATTGATTAAAGAAGATTTTCCAGTATTTGGTAAACCACAGATCAAAATATTGTAGGGCTTATCTGGTTCCTGTAAGATAATGATGAAAAAACAAAAACAAAAACAAGCAACTAAGTGCCAAACAGCATTTAGTAAAAAAAAAAACAATCATATAATAAATAATTTGAATATGATCATAAATGTACTGCACTGTATGTGGCTATGATTGCATTATTGAAAAAGTTTATAAATGTTAGACATTTGTCACTGCCTCATACATGTATTTTGTAGATGGAATCAACTTTTGCAACAGTGTCATCTCCTAACTACAGCTATATACATGTACATGTACATTACTTGCAAAAAAATCAGACATTAAAATTTCCGGGCATTTTATTTTGGACGCTTAATTCTGGACATAAATTTTGAATACTTTAGCTGAAAGACGCAAATTATACAGGAACAACATCTGTGCAAATCATAGTTTTACCATACCCTCAGAGTTTTACGGATACACCAACAAAAAAATATCACAAATTCTTACATATCTCAAGCAGTGTCATGTAAAGAGTTCACTCCATAAAGGAAACTAAGAGCTTTGGAGCTGCTTAAATGTCTTATACTGTACTGTAAAAATTTTGAACCCTTAATAATGGCTCCCCGAAAGTAACATTAATTTTTTACCTTCCTATTGAACCCCGAAAGTAATGGTTCCTCCGAAAGTAACAACCCACCCAAAAGTAGCAGCCCTTTGACAAAGTCACTTACAGAAAAACTCTGATCTCAAGTGCAATGCAGATGGAACAGCCTGACTGCATGACCGAGCAACATGAAGAGTTATTTGTTATTTTATTTCAAACCTAACAGAATTTTTCTTGAAACTATGATTTATGAGCTGTATTTTTCTAGCAGCAGAGTCAAATGATATACTGTAATGGCTACACCAGTAATGGCTACACCAGTAATGGCTACCCAAAAGTAGCATTCCCTTTTGGCTGTTTTGCCTGCTAAATGTGAAAGTAGCGGGGACAGTTAC